GCTGCCGCGCCCAGCAGCTGCCAGGCGCCCGGGCTCGGGGGTAGGGGGGAAGGGGGGGGCCTCCCGGCCGCGGGGAGCGCCGCGCACCGTCAGATGTCGCGACACGCCGGGTCTCGGCAAGCGCCAGCTTCCGCGTAGGGTCAGAGGCGCCTGCTTGCACATGCCGCACGAGGAGGAAGCAGTGTCGTCTGAGGTGGCCAGATGGTACCTTTGTCACACGCCTGTCTTTCCAAAATACTCTCCGAAGTGAGAATTGGATGCCACCGTATTTGTTTTCTTGGTACTTTTGCTGCTACAGCTTGGATTTACTTGTTGCTGGATAGTCTGTGCAACCTGTAATACATACATGTTTACCCTAGCTTCACAGTGCAATTACTATAACTGCGTAGCGAAGCATAGACAGAAGGGAAACAAGGTAATATCTTTCCAAATAAGCACAGAAAACATAATACTTCAAGTGACTTCAGGAGATGAAAGCACCAAGTTAAGGTGGTCAATTCAGAACACAAATTCATAAAATAGTTTTTATAGTGCTGCCCAGGTCTAAAATAAGGTTCTTAACTCTTGGATGCCACCAACAGAATTGAATGAGGAGCACTCCACCGGTTTTAAATCATCACAAGTGCCATAGCATATGTACAGTGAAAAGGTTTTGGGATACCTGGGTTCAGAAATAGTTTTTTTGTTCGACTGGGACAATTGGCACGGACTGACCTTGCAGAAAGATTAGTTGGAAGTCACATGGACGTTACGAGGATTTCACCAAGAAATACAGCAGTTACCAGCTGGAGGGTGAGTTTGGAGGAGTACCCTACCTCCATGATAAGGCAGGAAGAGGTGTCATATCTTGTAGCTCATCGTTGTAGCTTACCAGACTAGTGCTGAAGAGGGAGAGACTGGCTAAAACAAGAGTAACAGATCTCCGTGTGATTTTGAAAGGAGCAACTTTACACAAGAGAGGATATCAAAGCTCAAAGTGTGGATGATTTGCTGCCTCCTTGACTGTCAGAGCGGAAAAACGATTTAATAAGTATGTCAGCTTCACACCATGCTTCCTTCCCTGCAAAACATAAAGTCATAAACCAGAATAAAATAACTGATGAATTTCTTCAACCACCAGATAGTTAGTATGATGAAAATAATCTGCCAAAGCCCACTTTGTTGCCATTTCTGAAATTCTTCATGGACGATGTGAAGCTCAGTTGAATGCTAAATAGGCTGGGACATAGTGTACCTGATACAATGGCTGTATTGATAGACTGTTTATTGATACAGTCCTTCGCTTCCAGAAACAAAGAGTGGTTTCAAGGCAGGGTGTAGTCTTGCTAATATTTGTCCTCATCTGCAAACTACCCTAATGCTTGCTCTTCAGTCTCCATTTTCTGACCGCAGGGAACTAGCTCTTTTCCAGAAGTTGCAGTTGTCCTTGCCATCTGTATGCTTCTAGGCAACTGATACGAATGAATGCCAGTAACAACTTTCTGCACCAAAAAGGAGTGAGAGCTTCTGCTGCTCAGAGAATGCCTATTCCAACACATACTGTGCCAATTTAGAGATGATGGTCACTGCAGTGTATACCCACAGTGCCCAGTCCAACAAATTAATGCTAGACAACTGATATAGAGGTGAATTCAGACATTTGGTGAGTCACTGGATCACCAGCACCTAAAGGTTCCTGAAATGCCACTGCTTGTCCCTATCACATCAATGGTTATGTATGCGCTAGTAATGACTCGAGAACTTGTACCAAATAAAAGACAAAGAAAAGCCTTTATGTGCAAGATCTTTGCAATGAGGATTTGACAAAAGAAAATAGTATTTCAAATTATATTTTTGGAAATATTAATCTAAGGCATTATTCATTTTACTTCACTGTAGCCATTGAAAAGTTAGTTCTCTAAACAAAATTAGGTTAGATAACATTTCTTTCATAGGATGTTACAAATACTGAAAAATGCCATGTTTCCATCATGAAATACTTACGGAACATTTAAAAAGGGCTGTATTTTCTTCAGTTTTTTCTTTAAATTAAGGGTCTTTTTTGACCTGCAGATATTCAAAGATTAGGTGTAATGAGATTAAAATTTATTTATCGTCAAATATAAGAACATTATAATTCAGAGCATAATTAGCACTCCTAACCTGCCATTCACCAGTATCTACTGTATTCAGATGAAGCTCTCAGAAGCATCTCTTCAAAGAAGCACTTCTGAAATTTATCACCTCCCCTGTGGCAGCTGAAATTTCTGTCACTCACTGAGTGAAGCCACAGAAAACTGCATCCCAGAGTTGGAGAGCTGAGCACCTGCTCCAGGCCTTGGTGGCTCCAGCACTACCAGCACAACCAGACAGCGATGCTGGCAGATTGCAGGTTGCAGAATTGCTGAGGTTGGAAGGGACCTCTGGAGATCACCTGGTCCAAACCACTGTTCAAGCAGGCTCAGCTAGGGCAGGTTGCCCAGGACCGTGTCCACATAGCTTTTGAATATCTCTAAGGATGGAGACTCCACAGCCTCTGTGTAACACCTGCTCCAGTGTTTGGTCCACAGTAAAAGAGTGCTTTCTTATGTTTAAACAGAATTACTGTATTTCAGTTTCTGCCCGTTGCCTCTCATTCTATCACTGGACACCACTGAAAAGAGTCTATCTCCATCTTCTTGACACCCTCCCTTCAGGTATTTGTGCACGTTGATAAGATTTTCCTCGAACCTGTTCTTTTCCAGGCTGAACAGTCCCAGCTCTCTCAACCTCTCCTCATATGACAGGTCCTCCAGTCCCTTCATCACCTTTGTGGCCCTTTGCTGGACTCACTCCAGCATGTCCATGTCTGTCTTGTACTGGGAAGCCCAGCACTGGACCCAGCTCTCCAGATGTGTCTCACCAGTGCTGAGTCGAGGGTAAAGATCATCTCCCTTGACTTGCAGGTTGCTCTTCCTAATGCAGTCCATATGATATTTCTTGCAGCACAAATTATATTTAAGCTATCTTGAATTTACCACTGACACCGGAAATAACATTGTTGCAACTGTGCAGTGCTCCACCTGAGTTAATAATCCATTAATGATCTAAAAAGATTATTAATCTGGATTTGGTGCTGTGCACATTTAGGTATCTAGCTTTTAAATTCAAGCTTTTCAGCCAGAGCCTTCATGCACTCTCTGGCTCAGTTCACCTCTACTTTGTGGACACTTGAACCCAGGTATGACATGGCTGTACCCTGTTTCTTTTTTCAAGGCGTGGGCAAATTTAATTCTTGTGTTAACCATAATGCTTGGCTTTGTAACTTTCTTTTTTCTTTTTTTTTTCCCACAAATTTCTAGTTTATCACCCCATAAT